CATTATTTTTGCTGTTGATTTGTTTGACTTTCTTGCATATTAATCTCATGTTGGATGAATAGTTGGCTAATATTTTCTGCCATTCTGTTGGTTGTCTCTTTACTTTGTTGATTATTTCCTTTGCTATGCAGAAGGTTTTTAGCTTGATACATTTGTTTAGTTTTGCTTTTGTTATCTGTGCTTTTGAGGTCTTTGTCATAAAATCTTTGCCCAGACCAACATTCTAAAGTGTTTTCTTCATGTTTTCTTGCTGTAGTTTTATATTTGAGTATTACATATGTCTTTAATCCATTTTATTTTTGTACATGGTGAGATAGGGATCTAGTTTCATTCTTCCTCATATAGACTTAGTTTTCCCAGAACCATTCATTGAAGAGACTGTATTTTCCCCAAGATACGTTCTTGGTATCTTCGTTGAAAATGAAATGGTTGCTAATAAATGGATTTATTTTGGGCTTTCTGTTTTGCTCACTTGGTCTATGTGCCTGCTTCTATGCCCGTACCATGCTGTTTTGGTTAGTATAGTTTTATAGTATATTTTTACGTCAGTGTGATGTCTTCAGCTTTGTTCTTTTACTCAGCATTTCTTTGGGTGCTTGGGGTCTTTTGTGGTTCCATATGAATTGTTGGGACTTTTTTCTATTTATGTGAAGAATATCATTGATATTTTAATAGGGATTACGTTGAATATGTAAATTGTTGGGTAGTTTGATTATCTTATTCATTAATATGAAATGTCTTCAAATTTTGTGTATGTGTGTGTCCTGTTCACTTTTTCATCAGTGTTTTATAGTTTTCCTGGCATAGATCTTTCACTTTCTTGGTTAAATTTATTCCTAAGTATTTGATTTTTTGTAGCTATGATCAATATGATTGCTTTACTGATTCATTTTTCAGCTCGTTCATTATTGCTACTGATTTTAGTATGTTGATTTTGTGTCCTGTAAGGTTACCAAGTTTGTGTGTCTGTTTTAACAGTGTTTGGGTTGAGGTTTTCTGAGTATGAGGCCATGTTGTCTGTGAATAAGGCTAATTTTGTCAGTTTGTGTGCCCTTTAGTTTTTTTCTTTTGTCTAATTGCTCTGGCCAAGACTTCCAGTAGTATAGTGAATAAAAAGGGGTGAAACTGGACGTCCTTGTCTTGTTCCAGATCTTAGAAGAAAGGTCTTCATTTTTCCTTATTTGGCATGATGTTAGCTATATGGTTGTCATATATGGTCTTAATTATTTTCAGGTTTATTTCTTTTATACCCAGTTGTATTAGGGGTTTTTTATTATAAAAGAATGTTGAATGCGATCTCAGCATTTATTAAAATAATCATATGGTTTTTGTTCTTGGTTCTGTTAATATGACATATAATGTTTATTGATTTTGCATATGTCAAACGATCCTTGTACCCTTGCAATGAATCCCAGTTGATCATGGTTAATGGTCTCTTTAATGTGTGGTTGAATTTGGTTTGCTAGCATTTTTGTTTATCATTTTTGCATCTATGTTCATTAGGAACATTGGCCTGTAGGTGTATTGTTGCTGTTGTTGTATCCTTACTTGGTTTTGATATCAGTGTAATGCTCACCTTGTAGAGTAAGTTCGGAACTATTTTGTCTTCTTCAGTTTTTTTGAAGTGTTTTAGTACAATTGATATTAGTTCTTGTTTAAATGTTTGGTATTTAGCAGTGAATGGAGTAGCTTGTGTAGGGAAAGACGTATTTTTGTAGGTGTGTGAGTTCTACAGAGTCAATTTGGTAGGATGCTTTGGGTTTGGTTCTAGGTGTGTGGAACAGTGTAGTCTCCATATCATTTCTTCAGCTGTAATCAAAACCAGTGATATCTGCAAATGCCTATGTGGCCTACACTCTGGGTGTTTGTGGAGGCAGTGCTTCAACTATTTGGATGTGGACTGCTAGGCAGACTGGTTCTCAAGCTCTGGGTGTGGGGTAGGGTGTGCATGCTGAGCACAGTCCCAGCAGTGGTTGAGGATGTGGGGTTGCAGTCAACAGTGGTTGCTTGGCAGGTTGGCCCATGGTCCCTGAAGGGTGTATGTGGCATGTGGATCTTTTCTTATGGAGTTAAATGTATACTTAACAATTTACTATATAATCTATACATTGGAGGAATGAAAACATATTTTGCAGAAAGGATTATGCATAAATTTTTCTTGCAGTTTCATTCACAATAGTGAAAAACTAGAAAAAAGTTCATGAATAAACAATGGGATATATTTGCACAATGAAATATCTCTTCGCAAAAAAAGAACAAATTACTGATACACTTGACAACATGAGTGAATTTTGAAAACATTGTGCAGCCCCTAATGAGTCAGACACAAAAGAGTATATTATACGATTCCATTTTTAGTGAAACTTTGGAAAAGTATTGTGATGAGAAGATAGGTGTCAATACCACATTAATTAATTAATAATGCTTGTATTCTGCCTCATTCCCTGAATGTTTAAAGTGCCTAAAAAGCACCACTCAACTACGTTCTAGAATGAATAAGTGAAAGGTGAAGTAAAAACATTATAGAAGTCACATAAGGTGATGGAGAGAGAACCTCAAAGATAGCCTGGAAAATAATGAGATAGTGGCATGATGAACAGGAGTGGGGAGATACTGAGGAGGTTAAAATGATGATTTCACATGGTTTGCAGTGATGGTATTTTAGAATGATAAGCAATGATATGTGTCACACATGACAAATATTTCTAGGTTATTTGTGGGTTATTTGGAGTCTGATTGTCACTCATTTCATTGATCTAAAATATGAGTCTTTTTGTAACTTTCCTCAGTACAGAAGACAGATATATTCTTTTCAATTAAGAGTTGTGAATTTATGCTTGTTCATATTTTTTAATGTGATTTGTCTGCATTGTTTCTCTTTTTTTTTGTTTGTAAGGTAATGATAGAAATTCTTATTTTGGGATAGTTGTGAGCAGTAAATGAAAATGCCTGTGCAAATTTTTCATAAAATTTCAAGCCCTGTGTAGATGTAAGGGAATGTTTAGAAGGTCTGAAGTCTGGAGTAAAGAAGAGGCTGGTGTTAGATAATGAAAAGGGGAATGAAGGCAACTCCTTTCTTATTTCATGGCTTTATTTTCAAATACTACAAATGTTGACAATTGTAGTATTTGTTGTGTCTGAAATGTTCAGATAATTCTAGAAGAGGAGTGATGAATAACTGTTCCTTCCTTGACCCTTGACTCAAGTAACACTTAGGAAATAGTGGTATGTTTGGAAGAGCAGTGTAAGAAATGTTTTTATTTAATTTTCCTGAGAGTAACAGAGAGCAGATGAGGAATTCTGGGCCTGACTTTTTTTTACTGTTAGCCAAGGAGACCAGTGAAAAGCTATTGTTTTCCAGATATGGAGCCAGTTTTGTGTTCTCTTTGCTGATGCACTATGGAAGGATTTGAAGGATGTGCATGCTGTTCTCACATTTATGCGGTTCAGGTTTGTAGTGGAAAATGTAATTCTAGATTTTTGAAATTGTAAGAAGCCATGGTAACCTGGACTGTAGTCCTCAAACTGTGTAAAAATGTTGTTATTATTACTTTCAGTGATTAGTTCAAAGAGTTAAGACTCAAAATTCTGAAAATAAGTATTTCTGAAAGTGGAGCAGACAAAATGGGAAAGAAAAATTCTTGGCATGTTTTAGCCAAATGCTATAATATGCTTTACTGTGCTTTTGCTGAACTGTGATAGCTTTTCATAGCAAGGAATAGATGCTGTTGCTTGCCTGGTATCCATTTACCTTAGCCCGAGAGCAAATACTTAATGTCATTAAGTACATACCTCTGATAGATTGAAAGATGGAGGATGAGGAGAATGATGAAACTAGGGAGAAAAAGAAGACATAGGAAAAGGCAAACAAAAATAACCACCAAGCTTTAGATTTCCTAGAAGATGGTCTAATGGGTTAGCTTAGTTGGTGAGAACACTGCTCCTAAAGTTTAAAGAGCAAATGGATGCCCTAGGGCTTGTATAAAAATGCAATTTCTGATTTATTAGTTCTAAACTGGGGCTTGTTGATGGGCATTTTCTTCAAAATTCCAGGTGATGGTGATGATGATAATGATGATGATGATGATGATTTTCTGAGAACCACTGTTGGAGTGTAGCAAGTGTAAAGAATTTGGTTGGACCTCTTGTTGAAGCACATATTAAAAAAATCTCAATAAAGATAATTTTTCAAAAGTGTAGCCAAATGTGATTTAATTTTATATGATCATTAAACTTTTATATACTAAACTTCAAAATCATTGACCAAAAATAATAGCATTTATCTGGTCATTTCACCCTATTTTTTTTTTCTTTCATTTATTGCTTCTTAGGTTAGGTCTCTTGAGAAATACTTTGTGAGCAAGTTAAATTTCTTCCTTTGCTACATAGTATACTAACCCAGGTTGCCATCTGGTTAACATGTGGTTCCTATGTTGTCATGGATAGGGCCCTGGAGAAGCAGACAGACCACCTGGCTTGTAATTCCAGCTTTGCCAGGTAACTCTGGGACCTTGAGCTCTACATCTGTAAAATGGAGCTAATTCTTTCTTTATAGAATGATTGTGAATATTTGTTTTGTGAGAGGTGATAAAGCATCTAGTGTTTTACTCATTATGAGAGCTTAGTAAATGCAAAAGCAGACCCCCTTAAGAGTACTACTAAGTAGTTTTAGGTTTTCCAGACTTTGGGTTGAACAGGTCAGAAAGGAGAGGTGTTGAGAATAAAAACATGGATATAACTTTGAAGGACTTCACTAAGCCGTCCCCTTTCCCTTTTTTAACTTGTGATTTTAATCTCTCAAACTTTCTTTTGCTGAAGGTCTGATTTTTCAACTTAAGTGCAAGTTTAACTTTTTAACTTAAATTTTTTAACTTAAATGCAAGTTGCTACCTGCTCAGAGCACTTACCCTTGTTTTTCTTTTATCTGCTCTAACAGAGATGAGGAAATAGGTCAAAGGATAGCAGTGTTGACTTTTTCTCCTGTTCCCTTTCCTTTGCAGATTACTCCTCTGCTGTTCAGAAATTTTCCCAGACGCTGCAGTCATTTCAGTTTGATTTTATTGGAGACACTCTGACTGATGATGAGATTAACATCGGTAAGTCTTCAGCTTTGTGTGGCCATGTGACTCTTAGGCAAGCCTGAGATCATACAGCCTTTTTTGGTTTGTGGATTCTGAACACCTGGATACCTTTATCCCCTGTGGTCCACTGCCAAACCCCTGAGAGGCTGCTTAGGACAAACAAGGAACCATTCCCTGCCAGTCCCATTTTCCTATCACACAAGAGCAATCCGAAGGTATCCCTTAAACTTCCATGGAGGCTTTTGACTCGGTCAGTATGCAAGGAAACTTTTCTTTAAAGCATCTGGTACATGAAAATAGATATTTTCATAGAGGATAAATTAGAGTGATTTTTTGGGGGTTTATTTTCCAAAATAACTTGGAATAAAATTCTTCTAAGGAACAAATTTTCCTCGAAACTTTAAAATTACCATTTATATATGTACAACTTTTCAGGCAATAGGAGGTTTGGCATCTCCCTTGGGAACTGAATTTAACAATTTGCTCTATTATCTATACAATCTTGAAGAAGATATTACTCCTCTCTGAGTCTGTCTTGTCCTGTGTAAAATGGGGTTAATATATCTTGTTCTCAAGGATATTAAAAGAGATTGAGCAGTGGAGGTAAAAAGAACTTGGTGTTTGTATTAGTTGCTATGAAGTTAATGCAGGGACTGACAAACTATGATACTTGGGCCAATTCCAGACCCACACCTGTTTTTGTAAATAACGTTTTATTGGAACATAGTTACACTTATTCATTTAAGTATTCTCTGTGGGTGTTTTGTGGTACAACAGCAGTATTGAGTAGTAGTGAACAAGACTGGATGGTCCCCAAAACTTAAAATATTTACCTTCTGGCTATTTCAGAAAATATTTGCTGATTCCTGAGTTGAAGTATTGGTATAAAGGATTTGCTAGATGATAATATTGAACCACAGAACTATTGTAACTGATGTTCTGTTACTGGAACAAGTTAGGAACACAGTTATAAGCCCCAGAACTAAAATACAAAAATGTAATTTTATTAATAAATGCCTATTGTGATAAATTTGAATAATGTATAAAAGTTTAAGATATTTTTGCAAAGAAGTAGCATTTTGGACATACTGGTGTATTATCTTTATCTTTACATGTATCTTTTTCTTTCTATGTAGTTTTATACATAATTCTTTTTTTATTATTACATTTTATCATAAGCATGCTTCCCGTGTCATTTACAATTCTTTGTAAGTTTTTTTGGGGGTGGGAAGAGCATCGTTTTGTTCACTGCTCTTTTCCCAGCACATAAAGGAGTGACTGGCTTATAGTAGATGCTCAATACATTTGTGCTAATTGAATGAATAATGGATGCATTGATATTTCATTATTATAGGTGCTATACTCCATTTAATATTTAATTTTTCTTGGAACTCTAGCTTATTTCCCATCTTTCACTATTATAAATAGTACTGCAATGAATATTTTTGTGAGATTCAGATTGGTGACTGTTTTGGTTAAATGTGGCTGTGTAACTAATGAGGGAGATATTTGTATTATTTACTTATTCATGCCATTTCATTCTACTTCTGTAAATCTATCCTGGTCCAAGGCATAACTTATTTAAAAGTTAACATTATTGGGCTCTGGAATCAAGTAGCCCAAGTTTGAGCTCTGCCTATGCAATTTACTTTCTCTGTAACCTTGGCAAGAGACTTTATCTCTCTAAGTGTTAATTTTTGTCATCATATAAAATGTGGATGAGATAATCAATGCTATGTGTGAAGAGTGTCTAAATAAATGTTAACTGTTTCAACATTATTGTTAATTTAAGATTTGAAGCCGGGCTTGGTAGCTCAGCCTGTAATCCCGCGCCTTTGGGAGACTGAGGTGAGTGGATTGCCTGAGCCCGCAGGTTTGAGACCCGCCTGGGCAGCGAGACC